CTATGTTACGAGTCCTGAGGTACGAAGGTCGAGTCCTTACGCGCAAAATATGCCTGCGTGCTGAATGTTGTGCCCCGTGAGAACCGTTTGTGCCGAGAAGTCGTGGGAGTTATGTTTTGTATTGCAGACTACATTTTGGAAACTCCAATTGGAAGTCCGGTTGTATGTGAGACTACAAAACCACTTTTGGCGCATTTTTGTAGTCTCTGGGACCATTGTTTGCTCATTTGCGGACTCAATTCTTCGTCTTATCTCTCTTTTATTTTCTCTAGTCTGGGGCGTATGCTATACGGATCTACAACAATATTTTCGTGAATTTATCGATTGTGTGTCTTGTCCTAGTCCGCATGGCGGTTTTACTCTTATTGCTTATCGTGGGAATTGACTATTGTAGTGGCTTGTAGTCAGTGGCTGAGGTGCGGGCCGCGTCGGTTTGGATTCCTGGACTCTGATTGGCTCCTGCGTTCTATGACATAGGCTCTCTGCAGGTTCACCCGATCTGCAGAGCCATTACATCATTGGTATCTGGAATTGATTGCAGGCTGTAGAAGGGCCAGAAAAATTGTGAAAAATGCGGGAAATCCATAATATATTCAGAGCTCTATAGCAAATCAAGGAATATACAAGATGATCCTGAGAGGTCTAGTGAAATTCAAATAATACTTCAAGAAAGATAGGAATATTTGTGTCAGCTCTATGATATACAGTGTAAAATAGGGAGTATATTATGCCCAGCTCAGGACTCGTAACCAGCCATGCACAGCATTGGCCCACTCCCCCCAAGTTATTTGTGTCTAGTAGTGCAGCTGCTACTATCCCCTGCGCTGGGTACAAATACAATTTTGTAGCCACCAATACAGACCAACTTTGAATCTGTCAGAGTGGCGGGGACTTTTATGGTATAATGATGGCAGGGCCACAGGAGGACAAAGTATGAATGAAGGGGACATTGCACATACAGATCTAAGGGCTTTTGTTATGTGTATAAGAAAGAGTACTGTATACATCAATTGGAACATTTATACACCCAATGCTATCACTTATCAGACACAACTCAGGACTCGTGTCCTGCCATGCATAGCAATGGCCCTGTACTGACAGGTTATTTGGCGTCCCATGAGCTGGAATATAGTGGAATATTGCATGTCTGAGCATGTCGCTCGTCTCTACTATTTCGGTCCATCTGGTGTGCAGGAAGAATGTTTTGGTGCCCGAAATGAACATGTGAGTGAAGTGGAAAGATAGATTTATTGGAAGAGTGATTGGTTGACTGTCGACGTGGCGCATAACCTGCTTTTTCCGCGCACATGACAGAAGAATGAGTGAAGAGGCATTGCTAGAGGAGTGGCAGAGGAAACGAAGCTGAGATGAAAGCTGTGTATCAGACATTTCCGGTGGGTTATGTCCTCATCACATGCATTGAGAAGAGTGGACTTACAAACAGAAAAGACATGGACATGGCCATCAAGAATAAGCAATTTACGCCTGCGCACTGCAAGCGACGGTGGATATCTGGATTAGGCAATGGAGGAGCGATGGTAAGGGAAAATAACAAAGGCAATGAGTACAAGGATTGCATGATGGTACGTCCTTTTGTGTCAATCCGATGTGACGCTGACTTCACTGACTGATACCAGCAGTGTCGATGCTTCGGGCAGCCTCACAAATGAATGCGCGCTCGGCACGACCGCGATGTTTTCGATCTTAGGTATATCTTCTTCTTTCTCCCAGGTATGGTTCACTAACATGGCGATCTCTCTACGCCACTCCTTCGACAGCTTAGTGTTTCGAGAATGCATCTGAGAATTGAGAGGAAAAGGTCGACCTCAGTGCGATAGCAGGTCCCCAAGATTTCAAAATTATTCGAGGTCAAGGCTTCGTGAGTGGAGCCGATGCGACCGCAGACGGGTATCGATCAAAAACGGAGGTTCAGGCGGAGAACGTAAGGCTCGACGAAACGCCATAGATCATGCAGACTTGAGTTTCAACAGCGTATGTTCATCTACAACAGACACTGAAGTTCCATTACCACGCTACATTGATAGTGGGTGACATAGGAGGTGAGTGATTTCCGTCCCAAAAGTACTTCTCTTCTTCTGCTACTGGGAATGAATCTCTACTCTTTAGGTTATCGCGTTTGAACGCACGACGGCCGCAAAGGAGGCAGTGCACGGTTCGTGCTGCATCCTTGGCGTTGGACTGCGACCTCACATTGCAAGACGAAACCAGAGTACCGCACGCCGGTGTGCTCGAGCCATACGGACTCACGAGCGGTCAAATCGGCTGGGTGGCCAACGTTCCGTAGCGGCGACAGCGTCGTGCCTGGGATTCGGCGCCGAAGAAGATTATGCGGCGTCCCCGGGGCAAGCAAGGTGGATGCGTTGACGGTGAGTTTCTCCTGTTTGAAGGCAGAGCACAACGGCAGGATACTGAGAGAGGTGGGGACTCGAGGACTGCACCCGATGTCCATCTTCGTGGACAGCAGCAGCCCCGGTGGATGATGGTAAGAGGGTTGTTACAGACGCAGCTTGCGGACGGCGAGGTACAAGGGGATGTACAGAAGGTAAGTGCTCCCCCCTTTCCCACTTGCACTATCCTTGACGGATGACGAATCGATAGACTGGTGCAGTGCGACGTGAGTCTTCTCGCGGTGGATACCATGTGTAAACATGCCTGCTACTTTGACAGTCGGGAATTCGATAGGCAGTGGGATGATGGGACTCGTGGGTGGCTGGGTGGTGGCAACGAAATGTGTGAGTGAAGATAAGAGCCTGATGATATCCAAGAACTACGTGCTGATTATAACCATTGCTTGATGAATGATTGGTAGTAAGATTCGGGATTTGATGTATCGATTAACATTACCGGCGACATGGGAGGGGTTTGCGCCGGCAGCGGATTCACATTTGGGATATCAAAGATGGGTACGCGGGTACGTTGATTGGATAGTGACGCGAGGCATGACGATCCGCGTCCACTCCCTTTCATCGGTCTCCATATACCCGATACTCGGACGACCCAGAGCTTTCAGGTGGGGCTTACCTGAGACGTTTGAAGTGGGTGTATAATAATGGGATTACGAAGGGAAGGACGAGAGGATAGCGCATCAGGAACACTATATGCAATCGAAGTCAGGCGGGAGCTTGGAGCCGATGAAGGTGAGTCCCTTGACAATGCTGGTGATTGGGTATGGAGTGAACGATGGGAGCGGTTGGGGACAGGAGATGGTGACAGTGATAGGTAGGAATTGCTAGAAGGTGTGTACGAGGTAGGATAAGGTGAATAGGGTGGGCAGGATGTGGGTGCATACGAGGAAGGCAAGTGGGAGCCGGATGGTGAAGAACAGGACGAAGGTGCATACGAGGGGGCAGGTGATGAGGACTGAGCTGAGTCAGTCATCGCGCGGGATGAGCGGCGACAGTGAATTTCAGGGCGTGCGTGGCAAGGACAAGATATAGAAGAGAACTCGGGGGTGCCGAGTGCGGCGTATACGGGGAAGGGGTAATGACAGAGTGCTTGCAAAGGGTGCGGGCGGGGTGGAAGATGTCCTAAATACGATTGCAGGCGGAGGAGAAAAGGACGAACAAGTAAGGGTTCGGGTGCGAAATACACACCAGGACCGGTCTAGGACAGTGCAGTACTGATGTATCAGAGAGACCCCGAAGTGTAATCAATACCAGTCGTTTCTGGATATCACAACTTGAAGCAATACAACAAACAATCTGCGCGATAGCGAGGGACAGCGTGAAGCATTGCGAACGCCGAATAGCAAGTTCCCGTTGTGTCCACCAGTGTTAGGGAACAGCTGAAATTAGAATACACGACTAGACCATAAACGAAATGGTTCAGGTAACTGCTAATGCAAACCTATCTAACTAGGGGTCTATACTTCCTAAAACCCCAAAGTAGCAGCTATGCGCGATACTATTAGAATCGGCCGAGATCCCCCAGGTATACCTGTGACTCGAGATACACTGCCTTTAGAAGACGGCAGAAACATATAGAGCCTTCTGGTGACTGTCTCAAGGCATTCCTAGAGTATCTACAATGTTTCTTCAGAAGAGGGGAACTATCTACAGTGTGCTACAGGCATTCTCGAGCCGCTTCATCCACAGGACCCATATATGGGAGGCGTTGGGGAAGTCCGAGGCGTTGTGGATGGGTGTGGGTCCCGGTGGCGGTGCTCTCCTGAAATTGTCGGAAATGAGGATATTTGACACCAGCTGTCTACGAACACTGTAGGCTAAGAGAAGCGTGGATAATGATTTTACATAGTGAAAATGACTATATTTGGACTATATACATAAACGGGACAGATCAGCTGCAGCATTCAAGTTGACGCGACGGTCTTGAGAGTCGTTCATGCTGCAGGTGGTGACAGACCATATCATGTTGTAGGACTCCACGAAGATGACCAGCACCGTGCACGATGGTTGTCATGATCATGATTGAAGGTGACTGCAGCAAGCTGACAGATGGACTCCATGGTCCGCCCCGTGGTGCAGAATGACAAGTCGTTCCCCAGTCAGCCGTGATACGATGAGCACCCTGTCCACCATGAAAAGCTCTTATGCCTGAAGCATCTTAAGGTGTCTTATCACCTTGGAGCTTAAATATCACCTATGAGTTTCTTCGATTAGAAATGGATTGTGTATGTCAGAGGAAGTATGTAGTATATTAGCGAGCAACAGTGCCCACTGCACCGACTGACCGCCTACCTCCTTGGTTCTGCCCCACAGTGCTACTGCGCTCGGTCCGGGTTTTCAACACTGGCACGAAGCCCTGGGTCTTATCAGGCACAAACACGATAGCCGAAAGGTTTTGCTGCTGCGTAAGTAACAACACTCGGTCCAGCTTCTTCTATTTCATGAAATGTGATTGGTCTATCAGCCTCCGCTGATCCTTCTCCTCCGCCGGATCATCCAGTTGCAAGGTTTATGGTCGCAGTGACAAACATACCCTCGCTGAGTCTATCTGAAAGCCGAACAGTGAGTGATACGGTACACATCATGATCTTGGATCAAATCGGATTTGCCCTGACAAGCTTCGAAGACTCAGTACGAACTGCAGTACTTGGACCCGGCATTGTTCCGAACAGGCCCTAAAGCTGTAGCCATTCAGCTTTATATATCCCTTGCCTTGTCTGAAGGCCTTCGCGATCTGCTAGCCATATGGTGCCTCTGGTGCGTGTTCAGTCCTCTTGCGCTTCGATTAATAGCTTGAAGTCTCTCCTTCCATGGTGATACGCGCTTGTACTCTGACCTGTCACCGGTGTTTCGGCCCTCCCTTTGGGGCACGGGTAAGACTCTAAAGACTGATTGATCTCGGAGCCCCGCGGCCGTGATACGTGCACAGCGCAATCAGATTCACAGCCGGCCCCGAGAGATGCAGGTATGCTCCTTGCTTCTTGTGGTCTGGATCCCTAGGGAACCAGGCCCATCTTGTACCGTAACTCTGACGCGTTGAACTAAGAGTGAAGATCTTATTTCAACGGTTTGATGAGGAATCCTCACGTTACCCGTGGTGGCGCGTAGTATTATAGCCTCTGCCTTCACTGCTGCAGGCGGTCACGGTCCTCGCTCCCGCCATGTCCACAGCGCTCCCCGCGGAGCTGGTCGCGCTAATTTCCTCTCTTGAAGGCATTGAATCGGCCAAATGTCTTGCTCTTGCCACTTTTGTTATGTCCTTGTATGAATATATCATCACCTTGGAGAAAGAGGTTCGTCTGAAGCCGTGATTCAACTAACCTCCTCTAAGACCCCTCTGCCCCCCCACCACCACCAGATAAGATATTTCTGGTCCGGATCTTGGACGATATCACAAGTGCTATTCTTCTTTGTAAGGATAACAGTCGTCTCGACCAGTCAGACCACTGACCTCGCCGTTGAATACAGAATCGATATGTACCATTATTGATTATGATGTACGTTGCTGATTGTTAGCAGACAGTCGTCGCGACCCTCTGACAACCATTCCTTTGCAGGTTTGGCTTAGTCGGTAAGACCTCTCATTGTATTCGCGTCACATCTACTAAGACGACACCAAGGATTTTATGGGGAAAATCTGTCTCTATCAGTGAGTAGCGGAGTCCCTTCACATCTCTTATAATGACTGACCACCACTAGTTGTGAGACACCCTTGATTGCCACTCCACTGTCACACACTCATGGAGTCTATCTCAAGTTGCACTGGGATCATTAGGGGAAGCTTCATCGCAAACGCACTAGCAATGGCAGTTATTCAGAGTAAGATATGTCCCGCACACCTTTTAACGCCACATATGCTCACCTAACGCAGTAATGCTGACGCTGCGAGTCTGGTACCTCTTCCGCGCCAGCGTGCCTGCACGTCTGTTCGCCGTCTTCATTTCCGCTTCTTGCCAAATCGCCGCCTTCGCGATTCTAGGAGTAATCTATAACGACCTCAACGCCGTTTCGTTCGACCTCCCCGGTTTCGAGCTTGAAGACTGCTTGGTTCCCGCTCCAACGAACCTCTGGAGGCTTTGGGTCCCGCCGTTGATCCTGCATACCCTGCTATACGTATTTACCCCCGTGCAGGCGGTACTGAGGCGCAATATGTACGGGAAGCGGAATGTAGTGCTCGATAGACTTCTGAGAGAGTGCGTATAACATCTTCCTCCCTCATCACTCTCGCGACACTCATGGACCGTTGCAGCGGAGGTATGCTGTATCTAGCTGTGCTCGGTATTTACTCTCCCGGTATTTCATCTTTGTCCTTGAATGTTGACCGTGGAATAGTCACCGTCGGATTCTGCGCTATTGGGTCCACCACAAAAAATCCTTCCGTGAGTACATGGTCTTTCTCTCTCTTTCGAAGTCATACCACCATGCTGATACGTCTAAAGGTATCCATTTCCGCTGTTTATTCCAAGTAAGTCTCAGCCCCGTTTCGCATGGCTTTCGCATGCACTCATTCGACCGCAGCGTGATGATCGGCCTTGTCTCAGTGTGCATGTCACGTGTGATGTTCAGCATTCACTCCCTCGCAGAAAACCTCAATTGCGATCCCGACTGGCTGCTCAACCATGTAGAACTCAGCCGGGTCAACTGGAAGAAGGGATCAACGGACGGCGAGCTGATGGTGGAGATGGACGTGGTAGAAGCAACAGAGGATCCCGAGTACGGTCACCGCTTTGCCGTGAGGACAACGAGGGTCGGCACGACGCCCGAGCCGGATTACGAGCCGCCGTTTTTGGTTATGGCATGACAACAAATGATGGATTTGTGAGGCCTTTATTCCGGGTACGTTGCGTCAGCGGCTGTTCTCTTGTGTTCCCTGATAGGAGCATAGGTATGATAGAGAGACAAGAAAGAATAGAAATGTCATCGCCGAGTCCTGCCGGCGCTCTGCACAATCCATTCGGGTTCCATGTTGCGCAGAACCCACCAAGAGGAGGACGACGAGGTTATACTACGGCGACTGTTTGTCGACCCCAAGGCGCATCTCCCAAGATGGAGGCCTATCTCACTAATTTAAATTATTGGCTCATGCACATCGAATGTTGCTATAATATTGTCTATATGTCTCAGACGCTGTACCGTTCGTGTTTATTACCATTATGCTGGAGCCGGAGTGATCCAGTCGGTTGTTTGTCTGTACTTATTTACCTTAGAGCAATACCACTTCGTGTCAGATACAGTATGAGCAGTATCATGAAATGTCTCGTTTCGCTTGGGATCTGCAGACAGCAGGCACCGGTTTAGATTTCAGATTACCCTATCCTGGGCGTAGAACGGACCGAGGTCATACCGTTGTATCGATAGCAAACCAGTGCAGTCAGCGGCGACAGGCATACCAAAGGCGTGCTCAAACACAACGAGGCTTTCCTTGCTTGGCTCAAAGCCTTACGCAGGAATTTGAGCGAGCATAGAGCGGACTGTAACTTATGTAAGACCGCATCCTGTGACACCCTCCGGGATGCTGAGACTCCCCAAGGCTTCCAGATGGGCGCGATCGACGAGAACCACATTCCCCATGTCCGCACGATGCGTTGCCGCAGCATCATCATACCTACCAGTCAGCCCTCGAGCCCTCTGCTGATATCTACCACCGACGTGCGAACACCGAAAGTGACGGAGATCCTCTGCAGTCCGTCCGCCTACTCGGAGATATGCTTCTATGTCAGAGAAACGCGCGAGCAACTCCGCATCACTGCGAGGACATACGTGATCCCGGCGCCCACGCACGCTCTCTACGCCCAATTCGACTGGAAAGCCTCACCCTATTTGAGAGCATTCAAGGAAGAAGACAAGATGGACTGGGAAGCTTTGCGGAGGGAGTAGTATGATTCGAGTTCTCCGGAACACTGTGCGCATCTTCTCCGTCCCACCCCTGGGATCGCCTTGGAAGGGGGTTACGAACAGTGTAAAAAATAGGAGGAGACATTACCAAGGTGGCAGGAGATACAGGATGACGAGTGGAGAATCAAGTGGAAGCAAGCATTTAAAAATATCGCTCTGATAGTCTTCGAGGTCATCAAAGTAGATTAAATTGAGCTGGGGATGGCACCACAGCGTCGGAGGATTTCTACGAACCAGGCCGAGGACATATGGGTTGAGGTGAGAACCTTGTCGTACCATGAGATACTGTAGACTTTTCTCTGGTTCGAGGA